TGTGAAAGTATGAATGCGTTCTTCTATGTTTGCTTGTCTGCCTGTATCTGTGTGCATGTGTGTGTGTTTGCATGTGTTGCGGGAACTGTCAGACGACACTGACATGTGTGCTTTGCTTTGCGTTGCTTTGCTTTGCTTTTGTTGCACGTTTGTCGTCAGCTGGTGGAGAGGCTGTGATGCAGGTGGAGCTTACGAAGTCGTTGTTGTTGTTGTTGTTCCTGTTCTTGCTGCTGTTGCCGCTGTTGTTGTTGGCCAACTGATGATGCAGCAAATGAGCGGATAAGGCGTCTGATCTTTTCGCTTATTGTTAGAAAGGAACGAGTTTTGTCTTTATACACTTGCAGAGGCTATTCGAATTTGTCGTAAAGCGTGTAACACATTCAACTAGAATTCTAAAGTATTCGTGAGTCTGTTCCTCATTTTTTAGGCTTGATGAATCTTGGCATATATTCGTCAATATGTGCTGCAGACAGCACATATATCAGAGTTGGCCAGATCGGATCACTACATCATATAAGTCCCACAGAAACGATTGGCCAAAAGATGAGTTCTATATAAATTTAAGTTACCAAAGTGCATACTGTTATTTGGATCAAAAATCATTAAGATCGGACTGGTATATCATATAGCCACCATGGAGACGATCGCTCGAAGAATGAGTTCTGGTATCAATTTATTGTAACCAAACTTACCCCCAAATGCAAACTGTTACGATGCTAATATTTAAACGGAATTAATTATTAAAATCAGATAAATATATCATACAAATTTATATACCCGGCAAGGGTATGCAATCTTCGGTTTGCCAAAGATAGCCGTTCTTTCTTGTTTTTTAATTGTTGTTTCTTTTCTTTCAATTTTTCCCCATTTTCAGCTTTTCATTTTAACAGCGCCAGCGTTCAACTTTGCATTTGTGTGTTATTGCGTCTATTGTGTGTCTTACCAGCGAAAGAGGCAGCCAGAGAGACACACATAATTATATATGTATATATATATATATATATATATATATATATGCATATATATAGAGAGAGATAGAGAGAGAGAGGGAGAGAGAGAGAGAGAGCGTCGAAGAGAGTGGGAGCGCCAGCCGGAGAGCGTGGCCCATGCAGGGCGTAACAGCAACGCTGGTTGGAGCTCGAAAAGGCTTACGCGTGTTGCCTATGCTAAACAAGAAAGAGATCGCTGCAGCGCTGTGAGCATAACAGAACAGCGCCGCTGTTAGTTTACAGACATTTTTGGAATATTTTCACCATGACTGTGCCAACGTACAGCAGCAACAGCAGCAACAGCAACAACTACAGTAGCAGCAACAGCGGTCGACTACTTCGCGCCAATTGCTGACGTTCAGTTGCTGTTATGTATGCATATACATTAATATGTACATATGAATGTATGTATGCATGTGTGTGTATATGTGTATATGTGTGTAGTGTGGGGTATTTATTTTGTCAAGACTCTTCACACGTGCTCCATGTGTGTTTGTGGGTACTCACTAAATGGCCAATAACTGTTCAAACGCTTTCTTACCAAATTTCCATTCTGAGCGTAACTGGTTTTAGCTTCGATGACACATAGTTAATACGTATGTATGAATGTATATGTGTGTGTGTGTGTGTCTCTGTGTGTGTGTGTTCAAATATACTAGGTGCATTCGTTTTAAATGACACTCTTTAAAGTTCATTTTGTGCTAACAGTATGCATTTTCGATAAAAAGCATTTAATATTGAAGTTTCTCACTTGTTTTATTTGGTTTAACTTCTTTTTTTTTTAATAGCCGTCTGTCCGTCTGGATGAACTCAACTTTTTTCGACACCCGTCGAGATAGAGACATGGAATTTTGAACATTTACTGGATTTACTACGCCCACTAAGAGGCTAGGAAATCGATAAGATCAATTATCGATAACATATCTCCCACAAGTTTAAGGCTACAATCCCCAAATTTGGCTGATAGGTTCTGGGCAATGTCTTTCAAAGATCGGCATATGACACAACCACCTACGCCCTCCTCAGAACCAACGCCCTTAATATTTTTAAATGCTATATCTTCCGCAGTTTTTGAGCTAGAACCGTCAAATTTAATAGGCATATTACTAGTAGCCGCCTCTAAGAACCCATAAAAAGAATTAAAAATGCCGAAGTTGATTTGTCGGAAAGTGCGATAAAACCGCATATTACATTTTGAAACTATGTTGCTGGTAATACTCCTAAAAGATTGATAAAAGAATTGGATGGGCACGCCCATTTCGCCGCCCCAAACCGATACACCTGTTAGTGTAAATCTCTAACACTTTATATCTCATACAATTTGAAAGCTGGAGTCACCAAATTTGAAAGGTGTACTACAAGTAGCACCCTTAAAAAATCCAGAAAATTTTGAACCACGCCCACTTCTGCCTCCAAAAATTCCCACAAGTTACCAAACTTGGATGGTAGATTACTAGAAACCTCTTCTAAACATTTTTTTTCGATCATGCCCTAAATTCACCAAAGGCTATTTTAAAGGCAAACTTGCAGCATAGATTACTAATTCAGAGATCGGTATTTCTTGGTCAGCGGCATCAGAGTATTTGGCAGTCGGTTACGCCCGGCTGCAACATTCTCACTTGTTATTATTAATATTTATTTACTGTAAACTTGGCCAGTCTATAATCTTTTTGTAGATAGACCCTGTTAACATGGACGTAATTGAATGCCATCCACCCAACACTTTGATTACCATAACTGTTGTACTTATAGATATGACGTGTACATAAATATGTGAATTGTGTATACTAATCCTATTCAACCCTCTACTACCAAAATACTACATTTATTTCGGCCTTATTCGCTTCAAAATTCACGTTTCGTTGAAATTATTATTATTTTTTTTTTGTTTAGTTTGGTGAATTGCAATTTTGGTAAAGTTCACACATAATAAAGGTGTAAGTTTTAAAATAAAACAAAAAAATATATATATATATAGATATATATATGTAGATATATATTTAAATATAAACGAATAAGCGTGATAATAAACTTGGGACATCTAAAGGCGGTCTTCGGCGCAAAAGGGCTGAGATAAGGCTTTATATGTACTATGTTTATTAGGGAGAATTACATAGAAGAAACAGCTGTCCTTGGTAGTAAAAAATTATACAGCAGCTGACTACTGAGTTGGACGATAAATAAGAAGAAAAAAAAGTGTACTTAGCGAGTTTGCCAAAGATATATTTTAAAAACAAAAGTTTATATTTACTCTAAAGTAAATTGTCGTATACCTAATTACGTATACCTAATATAATGAAAATTAACAGATTATTCAACTATCTTACTCTAAAAGTATACAAACTATACAGTCAAGTCAGCCATGTTTTTGCATGCGAGTGTTGTTATTATTTATTCAGTTGCCAGTAAGTTAATTCAATTTTATAGTACTTGATTGGCTTCAAAAAAAAAAAACAATCAAATACTTGTAGTGTGTATTTATAGCCACATGGTTTTGTGGTGAAGTGTGTCACGCATTGATGAAAATTGCCTAGATCCTATATATATAACATAAGGGTCCGATTCGATATAGCCATGCTCATCTGTGAACTTATCTCTCACTTTTTATTCTCAACTGGAATAAATTCATCATTGTGTGCAAATGGATCGGATAACTATATGTGGTATAGATATATATAGGTGCCATTGGAATAATCGGTCGAAAGATGATTTCTTGTACGAACAACTGAACAACAATCTGAATAGATACGTAGTTTAATTATGTTTATTCATCATCAAAGTCAAACTACTATATCATAAAGGAAACTTAGTTGTAAGTGGATGGACTTCACTCTATAAGAGTATGTTATCTTTGGCGTGTCTAAGATTGTTGTTTACTCTGGCTCAAATGTAGTTGTATTTGTGTCTCATTAGGAGAAAAGCCAACAAACAGCAAAAAGCCCTTGCAATGTGCGTCAAATTAGCAGAAATCTAAAACGGATACATTTATAAATATGTAACTTACTTGCAACAGGGCACAGTGCGTATGCAACATACATATATATACATATGTGTGTGTATCTGTTTATGTGTGTATGTGTGTATCTATGTATAGCTGGCAGTTTATCAGCTGCCATAACAATGATGTGCTGTTCTTTATGAACTTAACATTATGTGTGGCAGGCAAAGAAGAAGCGGCAGTGACAGTGGAAATACAATAAAAATAACAATAACAATAACAATAACGACTATATCAACAGCAAGAGCAACAAAAAAAACAACAGCAACAACTACAATAATAATACTAGTTGCGTGAGACTACAACATCCACATGTGTGTATGTATATATATATATATATATATATATATACATATATATATGTGTGTGTGTGCGTATGTTTGTGTAGAAATTAATAAGTTCCAGTTAAAGACCAACTGAATCATTTGTTGGCGCACAATCAGACAAGCAAACATAAAACACAGATGAAGACTCTTAAAAAAATACAGCTGTGAATTTTGTAGAAGAACGAGAGTCACAAAGTTAGCAGATACAAATATATATATATATATATATATATAAATATATATATATGTAGCGATAGATTCGAGACGAAGCCTTGTTGTGCGGCTCAATTATATAGATAGTCTGCCTTTGTCAGGCGATTTCATTAACAACATCGAGTTTCCAATATTTCAACATGTTGATCCATGGCTGTTTTTACCTAATATCCTCCACTGGAAGAAAATCAAGCCCAATCCACTATCCCCCGTCTTTGATTGTTTTTCATATCATTTAGAGAATATTTTTTCGACTACTGCCCCCTTTAATCCCATTGTTTGGAAAATTTGTATAAAACTCTTTTTGTATTTTTGCATTCAATGGGCTCTACATAAATTTTGAAACAGCCATATGCAAATTTCTATATATATATATATGTATATATAACTTTTTTATGTATTTTAAAATGGGTGTAAAACTGCAAATTCAAATGTAATGAAAATCGCCGGCTTCTAACTGGCTTTGAGTCATGCTCAAATGCTGTCGAACGAAAACTGATCATTTAATTCGTTGTCTTTTGGCATACGTTTCGCAGTGGGAAACTTGCGTAAGAGAACCTTCTGATGATGACGCAGACGACGCAGCTGATTGTCGGTTGCAGTTTCAACAACACTGACTTTGTTTGGGTCCTGAAATCCGAGCAAGATGTCCGCATCGACACTGTGATGGCGACTAAGAGGCGGCTGCACAGCAAATAGCTGCTTTTGGGCAATGGACTTGTCCTCCTCGCTAACATATTGCGACGAGACGGAGGAGGAAGTCTCGGACTGGCGCATTTCACCCAGATGGGCGCGCTGCAACTGTTCGAGCGGCAGGCGATTGATGGACATAATCTCGCCAAAGATCATATCCCGCACAGTGTAAATGTCGTTCAGCACATGCTTGATAAAAGCTGCCATTAGGGCATTATAAGCCTCCGGCCAGTTGGACAGAGAGAGAACGCACCACAACTGATACGAGTGAACGCCGAGGACTCCACCATCGCCCATTGTCTTTTGCAGATGGCTTAAGCTGTCGAGCAGCAAATAGTGCTGACGATGCTTCTCCATTATGCCCGGCATTTCCCACTCTGGCGGATAAAATGGCGCCGCCTGACACAGCTGAGCACAGCCCCAGATATAGGGCAGAATATTCCATTTGTCGATGGCGTTTTGATTTTCAGTCTCTTCATGCTTCTGAGCCGACGACGCCAGTCGAAAAAAGCTGATCAAACGACGAACCAGTCGCAGATAGCGTGGATAGAGCAACAGGGCTGCAGCTACCGTATCCTCGCCATGGAGTATGCCCGACTTGAACAGGCAGCACAAAAAGAATATGAACATCAGCTCATTATCCGGACCATAATCGTAGGTCTTGCAGCTTCCAAAGGAGCGTGTCAGATACTGGGCCAGCTCATTGATATGCTTGCCGTGGGGCTTCACCTGGCGCTCCAGAATGGCAAAGAGTTTCTCCTGCACCTGAGATACCCAGTTGCTGTACGCATCATGGCATTTGAAAAGCAACGAATTGGTCGATGCCATCATATCGATCTTGTCCTCGCCAACGCAACGAAGCAGTCCACGTCCAACGCCCAGCGGGTGGCATTGGTATACAAGAATTTCCAGCCAATTGAAGATTTTGCACAATTTGTCCATCTGGTTGCTAATGTTATAGTTGCCATCCAAATGTTGGCCCTGAATCGCCATGCTGGTGTTATTGATGTAGGCCACCAGGTCGTGGTAGGCACTAGAGCGCTTCCATTTGCCCAAATCATCTGCGGTGCGCAAACGTTTGATGTAATACGTGGATGCCTTTAGTGCATCCGCACTGGATTCAAACACGTCGTACATCTGTTTTTGGCTCATCTTAGTTGCTGTGTTGTGTTGTTAGATGGCTTGAACTTCTGGGGTGTGTACTTAACTAGTTTTGATAGTTATTGCAAGGCTACGAATTTATTTAGATTCCGAACTTAAATGATTTTTCTTGCTCACAGCTAACTTGGTTTCTCCCTTATCTTTAAAGTAAGCTGACTAATAATTTAACTCGATACTCGTCAAGATGTTAAGAAAAACAAAACAAAAACAAATTTCGAAAAGAATAACATAAGATGTATATATATTTTTATACAATATACAAAAATGATGCCAAGAACCAAGTTAAGGTCACGCACATTTTATTTGCACTGATTGAACTCTGAACATAAAATGCCTTAAAACATTTTAAAGATCCAAATGAAAATGTGCTTTGAGATTTGAGATTTGGCCTTGTGGCCTTAAACTGCTTAGCACAATTTACATATTTTCTTGCTCGTTTTTTTTCTTCATTTTTGTTTTTATATCAAGACTATCGTGGGTCTACCTGTAGCCGTTCATTCATTCACACATTCTGAGCGTAAACAGTTGAAAGTAAAGTCACAAATATATTTATATAGACGTAAAACCGTCTGAAGACAACACTATCGCAAGAGTCGATGACTCTCGGATCTCTCGCTGTATTGTGCATTGTGTATTGGCCGATATTGTCACTCAAAATTTAGATTAGAGCCGCCGTATGGCCGGCTGGTCGGTTAATAAGTTGTGGCCAAGACCCAGTGTGAGTAGACCAGACGACAAGTGAAGTTGCGTTTTGCGCACGGGGGTGAGTCGGGAACACTAACCTATTGCTTACCTCATCTAATTAATGTATATAATATATATATATATATAAACAAAATAGTGTAGTATGAGAAATCCGCTGTGGTTCTGTTTCTGGCTGATTGTGCTGCTAGTTGTATCGTTTGTAGTGGCCTTGCTGGGCGCTGTTTTCTACATTTTCACCTATTTGTTTGCCCAATGCTGCGACTGTTTTCGGGTAAGTTCTCGATGTATATACGTATGTACATATGTAGTGCATCATTGTATATATATATACTCTTCCATTATTCCCACCATTCCCACTATTTGCAGAGTGTGGCCGATTTCTGTCTGAAGTGCGTGCAGTTTCCGGGCTACTGTGCGGCAGCTATGTTAAACTGTCAATCTCTATGCTAAACACATGCCTCGCTCTCGAAGCTCGAACCTCGAACCTCGATGATGATGATGATGACAACGATATACAGCTGCTATGGAGATTGTCTTTTGTTTTGCCATCGAAAGTTTGGCGTACATGAGTGCTTGGTAATCAGCTAGCTGCCAAATAGATTAGGCTTTCAGATAACAAAAAATGGGCTTTACCCCAAGTATACCCCTTGCGAACACAGAGACACACACCCTCACACCCACACACACATACCCTATTTAAATATACGAATATGACTAAGTGCTTTTGTATATTATTATTATTTATGCAAGTGAGTTTGATTAAGTTACTAATTCGTTTTCCAAGAAAAACAACCATGTTATATGCATCATATTCGTTTAATGCAAATTTATGATAAACACTTTGTTTTAATTATGCATATATGTGGCTGCCTTAAATGGATATATTTCTATATAGAGAGAGAATGATGCTTTATTCAGATTTAGTAACTCAGTTGCTCGGGCAGAGTATGCACTAGTCGTATACTTATCATGCATTTGCACTTGTTCGAAACAAACGTCCATTTGCAAGTGTTCCGAATAGGTATGACTTAGTTCCATATTAGTGCTAATGACATCATAGTTTTTATCAATTTTCTGCCACAATGTAAGAATTATTAATCTTAAGTGCTTTCAATGTGCCTGTTAAATTCAATTTCATAACGTCATAAACATAATTCTGATTTCTCAAGAGGTGCATCTGTACCCAGGCCCACGATTTCAAGCAAGCATGTACATATGTATACATATGTATATATATATATATATATATATATATATATATATAGATACTAGCTACTCGAATGAATAGTGAGGGCATGTAAACTTCGTTTCACTTTGGGATTAGTATTTTTCCTTGTTATTACTATTATATTTGCAAAAATCTTGAATTTAGTATGATTTTTTTTCGCTTGGATCGGTGCCAAATGTGAAGAGGAAGAGCAATTATCTAAAAATAAGATGCTCTACGCTGTGTCGGCAATAGATAGAGAGCTAGATCTAGATAAATACATACATTTATGTATGTGGCATGATCGGTGTATACATACATACAAATATGTGTATATTCGCATCTGTGCGCTTGCTTAGCATCTATTAAAACATATATATATATATATATATAATATATATATAAATATATATATACATATATTTAGGTACATATCCATATAATACTCGTATGCCACGCGGTGTAGACCGTGGGCGATTTTACAATGCCCTGCAGCCGAAACGAAGACAGCAACAGATGCGATTGCGGTTTGGGTTTGTCTTCTATTTTTTCCTTTTATATATACCCTATATAGAGGATCCATAGATATGCTTATAAGTCTTTGACTTAGTTTATTAGAAATCGCCTTAATCGTTGTTTTAAGTTGAACTGCGTATTTAGCTAAATGTTATTTTGGTCTCATCCAAACCTGGCCATTGACCTCTTGGCCAATATCAACTTATTTGCTAAGATTAAACAAGTATGGCATCCTTAGCCTTTGTGTTTTACTCAACTTTGCATTAAGCAATTAGTACAGCAATTAAGGGTATCAAGTCTTCGGCAACTTTGGATTAGTTTTTTTTTTTTTTTTTTTTTTTAAGTGCATAACGATCCCAAACCCAGTCCCGTTGTCATGCCCAGGCGCAGGTCCGTAAATGATTATGGCTATTATGCGATCGCCCACGCATTGTGAGTATCTGTGCCACGTCGCGCAATCCGTGATCCGCCGCAGAGTAATAACTGACTAGCGACTCTCTCGACAGTCTCCCGCTTCCTTCTCTCCCCCTTCCGCCCCACACCCTCTCCGACACCCCAGATATTGTTGCATATGCATTTGTGCATATGTTTTGTGGTCAGCCAACATTTAACGAACCGTCTCAAGCATTTTATTCAAGACAAGTCCATCATAGTTAGCAGCAACACCTGTCTGTCAACTATGGCGCAAGATAACAATAGACTGCCCCAAGAGTCACTCATCACCGGCGGATTGGACATTTCTTAATATTATTAATAGTCGTCAAATTAATAAAAATTTGGAACTCGAACTATCACTTTGTTATTTCTGCGTAAGAAAACAATTAAAGTGCAAATCCGGCTAATTTAATCAGCAATTCGGCTTACTGTTGCAAGCAGCTTTTCTCTTTTTATGGATAGAGGTCATTATAAGTCTCACAGTCCCATAAGGTATACATATATATTCACTAGCCGAATCGATGTATCCATGCCATTTGTTATTACGCCTACAAACTAGACAGTCAGTTTTAAAACAATCTTAATGAAATTTGTCACATATATTTATGTCTTTGTGTTTACCAAATTATCCGAACCAAAGATACCAATATGTGTGGCATGTTTCTTACATACATATATATATATATATATATAGATTTCGTAGGAACTATTTGATTGTTAAATTTGACTCCGGTTTACAATTGCTTGGTTTGTTTTTGGTATCCCTTAGACCAGTTTTTCTTGGCTTATCAAACTTTTGGTTTCTTTTATAATTGATAAAATATATATATATATATATACATTCGATATTTTCATAAATAAATATATACAAATATATATCTATGTATATTTTGCTATTTGCTGATGTTTTCCACGGTTCAAACTACATTTATTTTGAGAGAGTGTGTGTATCTCTGTGCAACATACACAAATACACTCTGAACTGTTTGGTGTATATATACTATATATACTATATATATCTACAAATATTGCGTTACATAAGTAAGTTTGTTGGTTGAAGAACGTGGGTGCGTGTGTTTTTAATGCATTCGATTTGCTATTGAATATTTTTGCCTTGAATTATGCAGAATTCTGTGTACGTTTCTTATCTGCAGCTCGTTGTTGTTCTTGCTATTGTTGTTGTTGCTATTGTTGTTCTTGCTATTGTTGTTCTTGCTATTGTTGTTGTTGTTGTTAGTATTGTGGCTTTTATTGCTTTAATTTCGATCATCAATTAAGCAGGAACTGTTCAATTTTACACCTGTTCGCTGGGCTTCTAATCCGCCTGTGTGCTCAGCTCTTATTATTTTGTTGCGGGAGTGCAATTTGTGGATGCACAGCAAGTGCGACAATTTCAGTTATGATTGGATAAGTGCAACAGTGCATTATGGCATTGCAGGGGTCATCCCTGCTCTCCGGCAGCTTCGTGCGCTACGTGCTCAATGGTCGACCGACTGTGTAATGTGAAAAGACAAAAGCAGACGCTGTTCAATGCAGATAAAACTCATGTAGCTCACCCACACACAAATTATTTAACTACAAATTATAGTAAATGCTCACTCAAATGCTGATTAAGATGAGCATGGTAATGTTGAAGTGTTATCCTGCATACCAAGCTATCTTATTATGAATGAACGTGGCTTCAGTTAACTTATAAAGCTGCGTTAAATATACAGTGTGTAACTTCCAATTTCGATAACCCCCGGTAATCCTCCGTAGAACACTTCTTGGTGTTGCCTTCCTGCATAACTTAAGCTATGCCGACTAAGTTTATAATTTGCTATTAGATCGTCGGACGTTAAATTAATATTCTACAAGGTAATACTTAATGTTATTTATTATCTGCTAGGACCAGTTCTATGTTTATGTTATAGACTTAAGTTCACTGTTATCATTCATTCATACCTTTACAAATCGATGATTTATATCCTTTCAATATGTTGATTAATGTTTAAATATAATTGCTACATAAAAAAAAGATCGTCTTAATTTCCCCTGTAGACCTACTTGGAACTAGGTCCATTTTCTATGGCCGTCGAGCACGACTGTTTATGTGCTTTCGCTGCATTGTTATTACAAAAGCTGAACG